GGACGAGAACTCTGGTGGCCGCGGGCGGCGTGGGGTGTGGTCTAGCCGCACGCGAGGCTCACCTGGAGGCTGAGAGCAGAAGTCCAGGTGAGAGCCTTGGCCACGGCCTGGCCTCGGGCAGCCCCAGGACGCCCTGGAGTAGGGACTGTGTGAAAGCAGAGCCCGTTAAAGCCCAGCAGCCCCCAGGGGGCCAAGGGAGCTCCCCATCCACCTGTGGCTCCAGGCGGCCGGCCCTCCTGGGGGCCTGCGAGACCCTCCCCGCAGCTCACAGGCCCCCGGGGTTGGGCGGGAGAGCCGGCGAGAAAACCTCTGAGCAGGGCGGGCGCTCTCAAATGGCTCTGACACGGTGCGAGTACACTCTTGTGTCTTTTTGCCATCTGCTGCTGTCATTAAAACATTACATTTCCATCTGTTTTCACACTTCTCCCCCCTCCCAGCCGCCCCTCCTGGAGGCACACGGCACGAATCCCTAGTCGTGGGCCGGAACGTTCCCGCGCCTCCCGGAACCTGGGAGCTGCTCCGGGACACGCCGGGGTTAGGGCGAACAGAGCTTCTCCGGGCTCAGAGCTGTTAACGTCCATCTAGTTCCTCGTCGCCAGTGACCCCAGGCTCTGCGTCACACCCCGCCGACACACACTTTGTGGGGGGAGCCACTCACAAAGCGTTATTGTTGGTTTTAATTGGTGTGCACGACTTTGGCATTAAGAGCAAATGGAAAAATAAAGTACAGACATTAGTATCCATTTCCCCCAGGACGCATTTAAGGAAGAACAGACTGAAGAAGAGTCAGGGAGCCATGCTTTGGGCTCACGTAAGTCATCATTCCAGACCAACCCCCAAAGAGGCACCCACCCCACCCACCCCCTCCTTTGTAAGCACCACCCCCCAACCTTTCATTGAAAAAGGACTTCAGCCGCCTCCATTCTGACCGCAAACTTTTTTTTTTTTTAAGTTTTTATTTTGAAGTAATCTCTACACCGAAAGTGGGGCTTGAACTCGTAACTCCAGGATCAAGAGTCGTTGCTCCAGCCACTGAGTCAGCCAGGCGCCCCTGACCTAAGACTTGCTAGTTTGGGTTCTCCTTTCCAGCTAGTCTGTCGGCTCAGGTGGAAGACCCTGAGGGCAAAGCATCCCATGCTGGGAACAGAAGCTACCCCCTCAAGCGATAAGGACCGCCCTGAGCCTGAGAGATCTCTCGTGATTGACCCAAGACGGGGATGCATTTGACCTTCACTGCCTACCTGCACGCACCCACCCACCTTTGCCCCACGTTTTCCTTAGATAAACTGGAAGTATTTTCGGCACTTTGGAGACAGACTTCGAGCTGCTAGTCCACTGTCTTCCCAGTGTTGGCCTCACTGAAATAATTTCCTTTCTTGTTTCCCTACCACTTTGGATGTTGTCAGCAGCGAGTGGCCAGACCAGGTCTGCTCGTGAACCCCAGAACCAGGTGCTCTTGCATCCCTGTGCCCTGGGCTACATCATGAAGGGCCAAGTCCACACAAAACTGAACAACTTCACAAGTTTGTGACCGCACAGGTGGGCCTGGTGGGTCTTCTCAAACACAGCTGTGCTAACATCAGCATTATTGCTAACGTTCTGGAGGACTCTTTGGATCCTATGCCACATGTTATTCTAGGTTCTGTGTATTCGCTCATTTAATCTTCCCGAAAACCTAGTTATCATCTCCACTTGAAGATCAAGGAAACTGAGGCTCAGGGAGGCAAAGTAACTTGCTCAAGTTCCCCCACTGATAAATAGAGCGTTGGGACAGACGGGATTTAGGCTAGGAAGCAGGAATCCACAATCGCAGACTCCACCCCAGACTTCCCAAAACATAATCTGCATTTGAACCAGATCCCTACTGGGAGTATCTTCAAGCGCAAGAAGCACTAGTGTAGTCCAGAACATGCCTCAGAGTTGCCTGACCACCACCACAAAGAGCACAGCACGGGGGTGGGGGTGGGGGAGGGGTGGTGGTGTGGGTCAGGGGCTTCATTATCTGCTAACCCATCCAAAGGGGGTGACCCTGGTACTGCCAGCTGGCCTTGAGAGCCCCCAGCCCCCCTGCTCCTGCTCCCAAAAAAGCCCCAGGTGCTTGCTCTGGAATGCTGTTGTTACAGAAATGGGAGCTCCCCTAGCACCCAGGGCAGGTAAGGCCCCCGGTGGATGGCTCCAGGACCCCCACTCTCACCACCCACCCCACGTTCATACCTTCACTGTCAGTAATCCTCAGGTCCCTCGGGGCATCGTCTCCATCCTCCAGGTGAAAACGGAGGCCCAGAGGGGTTGGTGACCACCTGCCTGATCAGAATAACTCCCGTGGATTGACTGTTTGATCCCTGCCAGGCACCATGCAGGGATTTTACATAGACTATTTTACTTATTCCTCAGATGCTCCCCATTTTATCCTCACTTTCTAGGTGAAAAAAAGGTTCAGAGAGGTCAAGTGACTTTCCAAGGTCACACAGTACAACATGGGTCTTGCTGACACCAAAGCCCTTGCTCGTACCCACTCCCCGCATTCTTTCTGATAGCTCCTATGTGGGATGCTAGAGCTGCAGTGGGGTGCCCTGCTCCCTACTTGCATGCCCTCCCTGCGCAGAAGTGTGCACTGAGCAAGCCTCCTCCACCTCGCCCCTCCCTTGTGGGGAGAGAGAGCTTGCTTGAAGGCAGAGGCTTAGGGTGCCGGGCAGTGTCACAGCCTTTGCTGCAGGTTGGGGGTGCAGACATCACCAGGAAAGGTCTCTCTCCCCTTACTCAGCAGGCACCCTCCTAAGGTTGCTGGCTTCACCAGGGATGGAGGCTCCAGGTACAAGAGGCACAAAGCCAGGAACTGGTACGGACACCCTGGGTGCCATGAGAGCAAGGGAACTCACTCTGCCCCTGCAAGAAACCCATATCCAGCATCCTGGGACTGCGCAGCCTCTGACCGACCCCCTCCTGCCTGGGCTCCAGCTCACAGCCCTCTTGCTGTTGCCATGGGCACTAAAAGCCTGGGCTGAAGCCGGGATTAGCCACAGCAGGTTGCTGAGTGGGCTGGAGGCCTCTGAGCTGTGCCCGGGGAGATACAGGGACTCCTCCCGCGCCCTGGCGTGTAGACCGAGCCAGTCTTTAGGGCTCGTGCCCAGCACCAGTGCTCTGGCCCAGCGTGCCCCCTGGTGCCCAGAGTCAGGGACTGGGGCCCCAAGCCATGAGCAGGAGCTGAGAATACACTCGCATGGCCTGGCTTGGTCTCTGTGCTCCCGCCACCCTCCATGACGGCACACTGGGGCAGCGGCTGGCCACAGCTGGAGGAGACACACAAAGCCGATTTGAACCCAGCCCCTCACAGCCATTCAGCAGAGCCATGGCCCACCCACCCAAAGACCAGGGAGTGAGACACCTAAGTTCCGCTGTCTTAAGCCAGTGAGTCTGGGGAGCATGTGTTTCTTCGTGTCTTTGGGTTGCCAAAAATGTATTTCTCACATTTCTGGAGGTTGGGAAGTCCAAGATCAAGGCACCAGTAGATTCGGTGTCTGGGGAGAGCCTGCTTCCCGGTTCACGGTTGGCCATGACCTCACACGGTGGCATCTCTCTGAGGTCTTGTCTTGTAAGGGCACCAATCCATTCCCGAGGGCTCCAGCCGCATGACCTAGAGGCCCCCCTCCTTGCTCCATCACACTGGGGATTAGGTCTCAACACGCAAATGTGGGGGGTGGGTACACATTCAGCCTAGAGCTGGGGTTGTTTGTACACAGCAACATCACAGCAAAAAAGAAAGCTGACTAATACGCGACCCCTAGGAGTTTCCTCCAAGAGTATCCTATGCGTTAGAGGTGCTCAGAACTGTGCCTGGCACCCCTCCAGCTGCATGAGCGCGAAATAACAACTCGCGCACCTGTTGTGTGTGAGCTCTGGGAACATGCTGGGAAGTGCGACTCTTCTTTTTTTTTTAGATTTTATTTATTTAGAGCGTGCATGAGCGGGGGGCGGGGGGAGAGGGACAGAGGGAGAGGGAGGACCCCCCAGAGAGGTCTGGCCTTTGTCCTGGGCTCCTGGTAGGTGACCTGGAGGCTCTAGGAATGTCCTGCCTGATAAGACTATCTTTGTTTACCTGGAGCCTCGGTCACGCAGAACAGTCTGACGGTGTGATTTACAGAGGGGCTGGAGACTGAGGTCACCCACCATGTGGGAGGCCAGCCGTGTCTATGTGGCCAACCCCCCCAGGGAAAACCACGGACACCCCGGCGTCTCAGTGCGCTCCCCTGGTTGGCGGTACCCCGAGCGTGCGTCATCATGGAGGCTGGAGAATCAAATGCTGCCCGCGGGACTTCCCCGTGTGCTCTCTCCTGAGCCCCACCCTTGCCATCTCTGCCCTTTGAGGATTGCAATCTGCATTCTTTCGCTGTAAGAAACCATAAACACGGCACAGCCAGAGTGGCTTTTCTGAGTTCTGAGTCCCTCTAGTGAATTCCTGAACCCGAGAATGGTCTTGGGGTCCCCCTCCCTCCCTCCCTGTGTGTCCTGGATCACCTTCCAAATTAACTCTTTCCCCACAAAGCCTTTGCTCAGGCTCTGCTGCTTCAGGAAACCGACGACACAGCGGGAACCACACAGCCTCTGATAGAAGCCAGACAAAGGTGCCACCGTCAGAACAGTCTAGGAGGGGGACGGGGACACCAAGGGTTTAATGTTCTCGAAAAACACCAAACCCAGAACCACTGCCCCCCATCCTAGACATATATCATGACGAGGATCCCACAGCTGGCGAGGACGGAGCTGGGACTCGGGCCCCCACATGACTTCAGAATCCGTGCCTTGGGCCTTGCTCAGGCTTCCGTGGCAGGGTGCGAATCGGGGGGGGGGGGGGGGCCACGACCATCGGAAGGCCCCCCCCACACACACACCGGCCAGCCCCGCCCCTCCCTCTGTAGGAAGCGATTCTCTTCACCTCTGTACCTGTGTGCGTTCCAACGTCTCTGCCCAGCCCAAGGAGCAGAGTTCACTGTTTGTTACAGATGACCTTTATTTATAATGCAAAAAAGGAATTATAAATCACTTTCTGGACTGTTTTGATATCTGTAAAACAACTTGTAAAAAACGGAGCCACTCCTCTGCAAGTTCCTGTGTGTGTTGACCTCGTGCACACCCAACTGTGTGGCCGAGGGCTCAGGGAGGGTACGTTTGTCCAGGAGAAAGTCTCTCCCTCCACCCCGGTGGCTGTCACCATGACCGTGTGGGCGTGAGAGGTCCGGTCAGCTCAGCTCAGCGGGGCCTGGGAAACGTGGCTCTGCAAGCAGGCAGGGCCGGCCGATTCCTTGCTCTTCTTGCCACGTTGCAGCTGCTCAGGTGCCGGATTCTTCCGTTCTCCCATCCAGCGTCCGGCGTGCTCGGCGCATCTGCCCCAGGCAGCCACGCCCCCAGGGACTCGTGGGGTTGGGGGTCCCTGGAGCAGGACCGTCTCCGACCTGTGCCTCCTCCTCAGGCTTCGGGGTCTATTTCTCCATCCTCTGGGCACGACCCTGTCTCGTCCAGCCAGACTAGGAGGAAGACGAGGAGTCAGCGTCTGGGTGGGCACCCACCACATCCAGGCTCCCTTTCCCCCAGAGCTCCAAGGCCAGAGCCTCCAGGCTCCCTGCTTTGTACCGCCACCTTGAACTGCCCCTGCACCCCCCACATAGAGGCGGGTAAGGATGCTGACAGGGGACCCGGGTGACACTGGGTCTCGTGGGCCTTCCCCACGCACCCTCCGCCCACACCGAATGCAGAGCTCACCCGGGGCCCTGGCTGAGGTTTCTCGGATTGTACCCCTGGCCCCACCCTTGGCTCAGCATCTTCTGGGAGGTGCCTTCAAGGCCGGGACTGGACGGGAGGTCGGGACCTCCATGACCCTGTCCTAGAGATGGGAAGTTGAGGCCCAGAGCAGGACAGACCTGATCCAAGCCAGCCAGGGTGGCCCAACCCCTCACCGCCTGGGGAGGCCCAGGTCTCTGGTCATCACTTGGAGCCAGCAACACTGGAAGAAGTGCTACCCAGGTCTGGTGTTCTCCTCCTGCCCCTAAATACCACTGGTGAGAATATGAGCAGCACTGCCCCTGTGCCGCGCGAGGTCGGACTCTGCCCTTCTTGTCACCGGATCCTCCCCAGCCTCTCTGAGGCACCATTTTACAGATGGGGAAATCAAGGCTCAGGGAGGTAGCCCCTCTTGCTCAGTGTCACAGGGTGCTAAGTCACAGAGCAGGGATGTGAATTCAGGGTTCTCTGACCCCGAGGCCCGCGCCCTTTATCCTACGCCTCTGTTCTCTGAAAGGGGAAAAGCGGAGGCACGGGGTCTGGGCGGGTAGGATGGGAGGGTACGGCTGTGCAGGCCCTCGGCGCTGATCCACCCCTGCAGCAGCTTCCACTTAAAGGGGCCTCTCTGGGGTTCCGGAATTCCTCTGCGAGCTCAGGGACTCTGACCCTGTAAAGTAACCCTGAGCCTCCCGGCGCTCACATTGGCCCCGGGGGCGGGGACGGTGGTTATAACCCCATTCTACAGATTTGGACACCAAGCCTGGCAGGACAGGGAGCCTAATGGCAGAGCAAAGGGCCTGAGCCTCTGCTGCCTGCACTGAGCTCTCTGGTTGGACACGGAGCAAGAGCTCAGCTCTTCTCCCACCTTGCTGTGTGCCCTTGGGTGAGTCACTGTCCCTCTCTGGACCTCAGGACTCCCATCTGTAAACTAGTGATAAGGGTGGTACTCACAGCCCTCAGGGTTGGCAGGAGAATAAACATTGTGAGAAACCTTCAGCCCAGTGCCTGGCACTTGGGAGGGTGATACAGGAAGGTGACCCAGGGTGAGTCATAACTGAGAATGGCCCAGCACTAGTCCCCGCATAGGGCCCGACCCAGAGGGGATCCAGTGGGTGGTGGGCAAGCTCAGCACTTCTGGAAAAGTCTACCCAGCCCCCCCACATCAAGCCTGGTCAGCCTGTGCTCCCAGCAAGAGCCAGGCGGGACTGATGTCCTGACGGCTGGTTGGCTGACTGATGCGAGCCACTGGGAGGGCGCCTAGCCTAGGGGCCACAGGGCGGGCTCCAGATCACACGGCTGGGTCTGAATCCCAACCCTGCCACTTACCAGCTCTATGGTGAGCATCTCACCCTCTCTGACCCTCAGTTTGCCCATCCGTGAAACGGGGATGAAAACAGGACCTAGCCTAGAGTCACCCTGAGGACTCAATGAGAAACTGCTCACTGCTAACATCAGTATTTTTTATTACTATTATTCACAACGGCAGCCTCAGCACCTAGCACAGGTATGGCCCCCTAACTCTCTTTGATGAACAAATGAACAAGCCGTCCCACCAGCTCCAACAGTGTCCACGGTGTCCACAGGTGAGGGCACGGGTCTGTACCTCTCTCTGGAAACAAGTCTGTCGCCTCCCCACTCCCTGCAGTGAGCAGCATCTAGGAGGCCCAGACGTGGTGTGTTTCCAAGGCTGTCCTGTCCAGCTGAACTGCTGTGGCCGGCAAGACGGAGCACCAGTCCCCAGCTGGCAGGGGAAGGCACATCCATCCATTACCTTGCTGGGCCTGCCCAGCCCCATCCATCACGTGCCCCGGCTGCCGGCAGGGGCTGTCTAGCTAATTACTTAATAGGCCACATCTTGCCGAGGCTGGTGCGTGCAAGGGGCCCTCGGTGGAGCCTACGCAGATCCCAGCATAAATTTTTAACAAACCCCGGCAGGTGGGGACGTGAGCTCAGACCCACGGCACAAAGGGGGGCCCCCCGGGACCTGTCCCCAGCCAGCTTGGCAGCGGTGGCAGGGCACCTCACCTGTCTGCCTGGAGTCCCGTGGCAGCATCATGCCCGTGGGGGTCGGGGGGGTGATGATGATGTTGGGCACGTCCAGGTGTTTGTCGCTCAGGACGGGGGCCTCGTCATGGCTACTGCTACCGCCACACATTTTAAAGCCTGAGAGGGCAGGCCGTGGGACACACAGGTACACACACACACGACAGGGAGACAAGCATCAGTGGCCGCCTGGAACTGCCCGCCGTGGGTTGCCTGCCGGCCTCCCTCCCTCCCCGCTGCTCCACTTTGCACACACGGGGAGGGACCCCCCCCCCACCGCTGGATGGCCTGTCCAAGCTTGCATTGCTCGGGGAGGGCACTGAGTTGTCCCCGCTTTGTCCACTGACGTGGCCCCAGTGCCCAGAGCAGTGTCTGACACACAGCGGGCGCCCAGAACAGGGTTCTAAATGGACGAGAGCCGTGCAGCTCAAACGGGAACGCGGCCCAACCGACGCGGAGCCCTGCCTGCCAATACCTCTCCCCCACGTCACCATCTGAAAGGGTGTCTGTGACATGGGGCTCATTTCTCCCTGATGCACTGGACCGGATTCCCCAGCGGAGCTGTCTGAGCCTGGCATTTGCTTTGGGCAGAGACTTTGGGTTAGGAATTCGGTGTCTTTCCTCGACAGGGGGCTGGTCAGGTTTTCTGTTTCTTCCTGTGTCAGTTTGGGTAAGCTGGGCTTTCCCAGCCATCTGTCCATGTCTTCCACGGCGGTGAATTTGTGGTCCTGAAGGCTGCTGCTAATGAGGTTCCGGTGACCCGGCCCCGCCCGGGTACAGACCTCCAGCTGACAGAAAAGCATCCCCGAGTCATCAACATCACACGCCTTGCTCCATGCTTCCCCTCTGAGTCAGTGGAACCACGATGCGCTAGAAACCAGAATGTGCGCCATAATTCCTCCCTTTCCTGCTTCACCCTCCAACCCCCGAGACAAACTAGCCAATCTCAAGCCCGCAGGTGCCATCCCTCAGCATCTCTGCAGTCCTTCTCTCTCCCTCCCCATGCCCCTAACCAGTCTCTGGGCCAGAAACTGAGAACCTGATCATACCACATACCTGCAGGACCCTCGCTACCTCCTGACAACCAGCTATAAGCAATAGCTCCCAAAGTGTGTTCCCTAGAACACTGGCCTCCTGAGACTCCCTCAGGAAGGGGGTCCCACAATCACATGAGTTTGGGAATACCACATATTTGAATGTTGACTGGATCCCATCTAATCTATCTTTCTCATGGAGATTCTCATGCATGTTAGAGAGAATTAAAGGCTCTGAGAAGTCCTGCAGTAGGGAAGCAGCTTTCACTGAGGTCAACCCTGGGCTTCCTGAACTTTTAAGTAACCTCGGGGTCTGTTTTTGAAAGAATGCCTGTTAACATCTCACAGAACCATGAGTTGTGAAATACATTTTGGGAAATGTTGATCATAAATTATAGCCGGCCTTCACAATCTGGCCCGAACTACCTGCAGCTTCATTCCCTGCCACTTGCCCACACTCCCCAAACTGCTCACGGTTCCCCAAAAGCCTGGGCTCCCAATGCCTTTGGGCCTTTGCACATGTTACTCTCTCTGCCTGGAATGTTCTTCCTTCCTTTGCAGGGCAATGGGCTCCTGCTTACCCTTCAAAGCCCAGCAAAATAGGCTCTTCTTTGGGGAAGATGTCCCAGCACATGCGATCCCTCCCTCCTTTGTCCATCTACACTGATTCATTCATCAGTCTTCTTCCAGCACTGATCACACTGTACTGAAACATTCGTTCTTAATTCTGTCTCCCTTGGGCCCACACAGTGCCTGGGAGAGAGCAAGTGGAGTGCTTTAAACTGGAAATGAGAAACACCTCCAGGCACTGCTGAACTGGCTGTAAAAATCCTTGTCTCTAGACCCCCCACCACCTTGTTTTTCACCCCAAACAACCCCGGACTGGGATGACATTCGCTCAGGTATCTGGGTCCCTAGTCAACAGCAGGAGCTGGGGAATGGGGTGATTGTTATTCCTGCTGCTCCTCAATGGCCCCTGGCGGGGGGGCGGTCAGTGGTTCTCACGTGTGTCCCCAAGAGGTGGAGTCTGATCCACTTCCCCTTCCATGTGGATGGACTTAGCATGGATTCTTGCACACGGCATATGACGGAAGGCATGGCGTGGGACTTCCAAGACAAGGTCACAAAGGACTGCAACTTCTTCCTTGCCCTCTCGCTCTGGGGGAAGCCAGCCACCATGCTGTGGGGACAAGCTAGCAGCCGGGGGTGTGTGGTGAGGGACTGAGGCTTCCTGCCAACAGCCCTCTGAGGGAGCCACCAGGAGAGGGAGTCCTCCAGCCCAGTCAAGCCTTTGGATGACACTGCAGCCCTGGTTGACCACTTAAATGTCGCCCCACAAGAGACCCTGAGCCAGAAGCTCCCAGCAAAGTCGTTCCTGAATTCCCAAGCCACAGACACGGAGATAATACATGTTAAAGCCGCTGAGTTTGAGGGTAATTTGTCATACAGAATTGGAAGCTGATGTGGTCCCCATAGCTCGCCCTGACCACAGGAGGAGGAAGGATAGCAGGTGCACAGTGGGAATGCACAGTACCCACTGTGCTGTGGGAAAAATCACAGGGGGCTTCTCAGGGTGACCTCTGGCCACCTAAGGGGTGTTCCGCTGATGGGCAGTTCATGCCTGGACTGTCAAAGACAGCCTGTTTGAATCCACAAAAGCATGAACATCAGGTGACCTAAAGCAATGGAATCAGGCCAATTTCTTGGCCCATCTGCAGCTTGACCTGAGCCATGTGCTCAGAAAAGCTGCCAGCAACGGACACAGTGGTGAGCACGCTGGCTCTAAATCAGGCCAACGGCTCGCTATCCGTGCCACCCTGGGCAGGTCACGTCTCCTCTCTGGGCCTCTGATTGGGAAAGAGGTCTGGCCTCTGTGCTCGGCTTCTGGGAGGCCACCTCTAAGCCCCTGGGCTGCCATGCCTGGCAGGAGAGGCTTTGTTTGCCTGGGGGCCCTGGTCATTTTGGAGAGTCCAGCCACGCGGACTCTGGGTGACACCCAAAGGGACTGGAGACAGATCTGCTTCCTGGGCAATCAACCGTGCCTTTGTAATGGAGTCCCAATGTACTTGTGTCCTTGGGTTGCTGTGACAAAGGACCACAGACTGTGGGGCCCCAACAACAGAACCTTACTCTCCCCCAGTCTGGAGGCCAGAAGTCGAGAGCTCCATGCCACCAGGGCTGGCTGCTCCTGAGGCTGCGAGGGAGACCGTGCCCCATGCCTCTCCCCCCCCCCCGGCTCTCCGTGGTTTGCGGGCAATGTTTGGTGTCCTCTGGCTTACAGACACATCACCCCGATTTCTGCCTTCATCTTCACACAGCTTCTCCCTGTGTGTGAGTCTCTGTCCAAATGTTCCCTTTTCATGGGGACACCAATCATATTGGATCACGGATTATAATCCATAATAATCCATACCGGATTATTACCCTACTCCAGGATGTCCTCGTTTTAACTAATTACATCTGCAACAGCAACCCCATTTCCAAAGAAGGTCACGTGCTAGGGTCCTGGGGGCTAGGACTTCAATATATGAATTTTGGGGAGCACAATTCAGCCCAGAACACCCAGTAAAAACTCTGAACACTAAGGCTCAGGCGATCTTCCCTGGTTGGCACCACTGTGTGTGTGTGTGTGTGTGTGTGTGTATCACACATTTTTACCAAGAGTGTAATGCATGTGGGAGCTCTGTCTGGAACTTTCCTGGACTCCGCCCCACACACTCCCTCGGCTCAGCTGGTTGGAATCTGTGTCCCTTCCCCGTAATAAATCATTACCGCGAGCACGAGAGCCTCCAGTGAGTTCTGTGCGTCTTTCTAGGAAATCATTGGACCCCTGAGCCTGCAGCTGCTGTCAGGAGTGAGGCTGTTCTTTGGACTGTGTTCCCTCTGACTTCCTGCTTTCACTGACAAAACAGGGTGGCCGGACCCACGTCTGTGGGCTGGGAAGAAGATGACACCGTGCCTGGCAGACGGCCTGCTCCCTCCCGGTGAACACAGCAGCCTTCCAGCCCTGAAGCCGGATCCTCTGTCCTCCCTGGGGTGGTACTCCCCCCCCCCCCCCCCGCCGCCACCGCCCCAGAACTGGCCAGGCCAGTTAGTTCTGCGGGAAGAGGCCAGGTTTCCTCATCAGACTCCGAGCCCCTCGGGAGCACCCACTGAGGCTCCCGCCAACTTGATTGAAAGCAGTACAACCCAGAATGTAATGCAAAGGAAGCCACTTGGAGGAGGCCGTCCTGTTATCACCTGTAATGGCTGACATCTAGGATTATTTGCTGCATGCCGTTCACGGTGCTGAGCGCCCGATGGGCGCTTTCTCCTTCGGTCTTCACTGTTCCTCGCTGAGGTGCGAAGTGTAACCAGCCCCATCTCATGGATGTGGAGACGGAGGACCAGAGGGAGAAAGCACTTGCACTCAGTTGAACAGCTAGTGTGGGCTGGAGGCCAGGATCAGAGCCCAAGCCCAACCTGTCTGACTCCGCAAGCTGGTGCTTCTCGTAACCACAATTCTATATGATGGAGCTGGCAAACTTTCTGAAAAGGGCCGGGCGGGAAGTATTTTTTACCCTGGGGGCTCTGCAGTCTTCTGCTGCAACTGCTTCACTTTGCCATTGTCACAGGAAAGCTGCCACTGACGATAGGCAAATGAATGAGGGGTTGCATTTCAATAAAACTTGATTATTTCTTTCTTTATATTTAAAGTAGTTTCCAGGGGCCAACGCAGGGCTTGAACTCAAACCCCAAGATCATGACCTGAGCTGATACCAAGGGTCCCATGCTGAAACCGACAGAGGCACCCAGGCGTCCCCCAATAAAACTTTGACAAAAAACGGGCGGTGGGCCGGATTTGGCCCAAGGGCTGCGGGCCACCAGTCCCTAGGCTCTGTAACCTCCAGAAGTCAGGGAGTGTGGATCTGGAACCTGCCTGAGGTCCTAACAGGCAGTAACAGAAACTCAAAAGCCTGAGGCTGCTTAATGCCAAAGACAAGAACAAAATCTGAGCCCCACCTGCTGTGGTAAAGTGACAGTACCTAACGTCGGATGGGTGTTGGGCTCGAGGAAATGAATGAATTCACATAAAGCCCTTGCCCA